CTACTGTCGTCCTGACGCCCAAAGCCTCTACTGTGCACCGATTCGGGGGAGGAGGGCGAGGAGGGCGGCGGAGACAACACCCTCACCCTCTTGACAACCTTGGCTTTCGCAGGTCGAACCTCGGGAGGCGAGGGAACGTTATCCCTCGAGATTCCGGATGTGATGGATTCGAGAAAGGCAGATGTGGTGACGGGCTGAGGGGTAGAAGAGAAGGAAGTCGAGGTGGTCTTCCTGCGGAAAGGGTTGTGTTCGGAGGCCATGGTTGCGGCAGGCGGTGGTTCGGGAACGGCGGAGTGGGTTCAAGTCGTGCAAGAAATGTCGAGGCAAATATTAGGCAGCCGCCATCGTCAACTCCCAAGGGAAGGACGTAATCGCCGGGATGACGCTGTGTACGTAGGCAACAGCGGGGTGTAGGATTTCCGGCGTGGAGGAAGAGGGAATTCGATTATGGAGCGGGATTGTTGGACGAGGGGAGGATCTGGAGTGTCGGATTGGTAACTGGAGGGGGTTCGGGGACTGCGGGCGGTGTCAGTCGAGTCGGCCGGAAGAATCGGTAGGGAGACAGTGCAATCGCAAGGCGACGGAGTTTTGGATTTTGGGGTCGGGATGACGGGCAGACCAAGTGGGAAAACGGGGGCCATTCTCTGCTTACCTGCAATGTATCTAAGCAACGGGGATTCGAGCGTTAGAAATGTTGGCAGTAGACGGATATGCGACAGCAGACAACAGAGCTGTGCCCGACGGCGGCGGCGGGACTAATCAGTCGGTGGTCGACGTGGAGCAGAGACCTGAGAGAGCTGCTGGCTGGGCAGTGTCTGGTGTCTGGAATCTATTGCTTGGTATCTGGTATCTGCTGAGGTGAGGTATTAAGGTATAGCCGGTGGAAATTGGTGGTGGTGTAGTGGCAGTGCTGGCTGGTGGTGGCCGTCTCGACGTCGTTGGGTTGGCTTGCGATCAGGTCGGCCGGCTTCTTTTGGGCGGTGGAAGACAAGATTGGACAGGAGGAGGGGAAGCTGGTTGGATGACGGCCTGGCCTTCTCTCGTTTTGGGGGGGGCCGCCTGGGATTTGAGCCAGGGAATATTGGAGCAGGGGGGGCAGAGTGCAGAGTGCGAAGTGCGAGGGAGGGAGTGAGAGCGAGGGAGATACGGATAAGGCAGGCGTAGAGTCGCAGCAGCTATCAGTATTTGCTTATCGCAGGCACTGGTATCTGTAGGGCGGACGATGCAGATGATGGACGAGGGGAGGTAATAAGCGGGCAGGCACGTTGGGTAAGGTAGGTAGGGTGGTGCCTTGCTGGGAAGCGGGTGGTAGCGAAGCGACAGGCGGCGGACGGTGGTGATTGACGACACTTTTGATGGGACCTGGGACCTGGGTGGGGGAGGATGATGAAATCCCTCCACGTCCACGTCCACGTCGTTGCCGACGACTCCTTCCTTCCTCTGCAATTCACATACTTTCACAATTGCATGAGTTGGTCACGTCCACCAGTCTTGGATCCTTGATGCCCACTTTCCTCAAGTTGCAGAATTGCAGTTTCTTGTTCCAGATTCAGTGCAGCTCGGTCAACCCGCAGCAGCAGCAGCAGCAGCAGCAACGGAGGCAAGTCTCGACTGAGGTGCCTGCATCTGCACCGCGCTCTTTCCTGGGTTGCTGTCTCTTGCCTCGTGCTTGCCGTCGGAGAATGCCTCAAAGTGAGGTACCGTAGCACAGGCGCAAAATGAAGGAACCCCTCAAAGTAAGGTACCTGCCACGCAAATGCCCCGTATCGCTACACGGTCGGTACTTCTCTCCCGTTTCTGTTCCTAGGTGCCCTCTGTCGATGTCGATGTCGATGGCACTGCGTCCCTAGCGGGCAAGAAGGAAAGGTACGCAGACGCAGGTAGGTCCCTCCTCCCCACATACCCCGAAACGGACGGGAAGAAACATGGGCATCGCATCGCACAGGCCAGCCACTAACACCACCGGCGCCATTCTCTGAACGCTGCTGTTTGATCAATGCGTACTGAGCCTTACTATCAGGTCTCTGCTCCAGTGCTGCTTCACACTGTTTCCTCTCTCTCTCTCAACATCATCCTCGAGCCTCTTCGTCTCTCATTTTAGATGCAAAGCTTCCATCCATCCTCTTCAACGTCTCTTCTCGTCACCCAATGCTTCTCCTCCCATCTCGCCTCACACCGGCCACACTGTGACTTGCAGACAAGCACATCCCCTCGACCTCGACCCTCGACATCATGCTCCATCCCAGCCTCAGCTCCTCGACACGACCCCTCCTCCATCGTCAACACCTCGACCACTCACTCGCTCCATCATCAGGCCCCCAACCGCCTGTACGGTTGCACCCTGCACCTGTCGCTCGTCGTGTTCCGGATTGACGACAGGGATCCCGACCCGGAACCAGCGCCGGTAGGGGACATGGTCAACGGAGTCTGCCATTCAGCATTAAACCAGAATCCCGCTGCCCAGTGACACTCGATTCATCGGATTCTTTTCGCCGCTTCTGACAGACAGCTCAATGCCGCCGCACCCATCATCCATCGACCTCGTCGGCGCTTGCACGTCACTCATCAGCCCAGCTCCAGTCTCGACGCACCTCACCTAACAAGACTCGCACAAAGTACCCCATGTACCCGCTACCTCCCTCGACCCCTAGCCCGAATTCTCTCTGTCCTCCCCCCTCCAAACATGAAGGTTTGTTTCAGGAACACCAATGGGAAGCAAGCTCGGGGCTAGCTATCCACGTCACTCCTTGCACATCCAGTACGCCCACCACTCTTCCGCCACGGAACAATCACCTCTCAACTCTGCACTCGCCGCGACCTGCAGCGCACTGCTCCCGACCGACTGATGAGCTGCACAGCACCGACACCAACACCAGGACCACCGACCACTACCCGTTGGTGTGACGGTGACGGCGCACACAGAGGTGCCCTTGGGCCGCGGTGAAATCCTGCGCCTCTGGTCTCCGAGCTCGACATTTGACACCGTTGCACCATGGCCCGTAGCCGCCCACCCGCTCGCTCGCCTTGTCTCGCTTCGCCTTTTCTTCAAGCCAGCCTTCCCCGCATCGCCACTTGAAGCCTAAGCATCGCCGTTTACTGTGCGCGTTCTCGTCGTAAAGATGACTGAGATCTCTAGAGATGACCAACATACGAGAACTCTCGGCAGTGGAGCGACAGGCACTGGTCGATATGACTCGACTCCGGCAGCAGTAGTTCTAGGTCCATCTGTCATACCAGGCCCTGATCTTGCTCCTCCGTGCAAACGAGCAGACGACCCTCATCGCCAGTGACAGCAGCAAGTCAGATGATCAAATGACGCTCGCCCAACAAAAGTCGCCTCTCTGCCCGGCTCATGATCCGTATGATCGGTGTGGATGGGACGGGTCCCGGCCACTGGTGTGGCGCCGTCCGCTCGCCGCACGTGTCAGACGGCCGCCCTGCCTAGAACTCGCCGTGGCCGTCGTGCATCACAAAACCCAACGGTCACGTCTACTCAGGCACGCTGACGACAAGTTCAGGGAAGCGGCCAAACAACGCAATCAACCCGTGAAAACCATGCTCAAAATACCCCGCGACACGTCCACCAGCCTCGAGTTTCCAGACTCTTGAAAGGGCTTGGTACCTGCCTTCACCAAAAGTGTGTTCGTCCAGCGGTCTGTGCAGGCAAGTTGACTGAGTCGATGTTGCGATTAACGCCGCGTCCAATAGGGTCAGCGGGCGGTTCAAGTCTCATCTGACGCCAGGCCAAGTCAGCCCACAACCAACGAGCCAAACCGACAACTGAACCACCATGCAACAAATCTCTTTCGCATCACAGCGTCACGAGAAAAGCACCAGGCAACAGGGAAAAACACCGCAGGCCTTTCTTGCTTTCTAGAAATAACTCCACGAAGGATCCCGGGCGGCCGGCGGAAGAGGCACGTGACATCCCTGACCAACCGACCGTGACACGCCCGGAGCTCACCTCAACTCACCCCAAAATGTAAACAAACCCATGAACCGACCGCGTCTTGTCTGTCTCTCTCTGTCTCTCAGCCCCACCCCGAAACTCCCACGCGGCCCTCCGGCACGTCGCACCCCGTTCGCCTCTGCTCTCACTCTCTCCCCTTTCCCCCAGAAGGTCTCCTCTTCATTTCTGTTGTGCTTGCTCGGACCCCAAGACGAACATCAAACGAAATAACCCTTCCAGCCTGCTGGAAAAATGGTAGCGCAATAATTCGCAGCCGCTCCGGCCGCGCCGTCTGTACCGACAACCGTAAACCCCCCCTGACGTGACTTAACCACCGGCCTGACCGCCACTCACGGGCTTGGGCCCTCGTCAGCCATCGCCATCGCCGACCGTGAGATCACAAGAAGGCTCCGTGGGTAAGAGTTGCGTTTCCTCTCATGAAGGAGTATTTTGCAGTTTCTTTGCGCCAGAGTTATGATACTGGTAGATCATCGTCGTCAATCGACTCGAGTTGCCATCCAGGGAATGATACAAGCAGGGCGCAGCGGTGTTTCGGAGCGTCGTAAGTACGCGAAGGGATTCTCCAGCCTTGCCAACTCGTCGCGCGCCGGGGCGTGACCGCGAGGCGTGACCGACACTGAGAATCTCGCACTTCCACCAAACAGAATATTGAACAGTGAAAAGTCTCGTCATTGGTATAATCGCGTGAGCTATAGTTACAATAGTGAGAGGGCGTCGCCGTCCGGGATCCGCCGAACCCGTCTCAAACAACGCGCGCAACGCGACGGAGGGTGAAAAACCAGTAGAACAAAACAGAAACGATAAAACACATTCGTCCCAACCCGATGATCCCTTCTTTCAACAAGTCAAGAGTCAAAACTTTGGTTTGTTCCCACCACCTTTGCCCGGATCCCATTTGAAACCCCATTGTTGTTCCCGCCAAGTAATCGAGCAATACTCCCGTAAACGCCGTTCAGTTTGGACCTAAGAAAGATTCGTGACCAGAGCATGCTTGCATTCGTCAAGGAAGACGACGACGAAGAACAGCACTCTACGCAGATGCGGCAGCAGGCTCAGCCTTGGCCTCGTCCTTCTTGGCGGCAGCCTTCTTGGCCGCGGGCTTCTTAGCCTCCGTCTTGGTGACGCGACCAGTCTTGGTCTTGGAGATGGCAGCGGGCTTGTCCTGATGAAGATGTCAGTAGGTGTACTGTGCGACGGGTGCAAGATGAGAACGTACGGCCTTCTTGGCAGCAGGCTTCTTAGTCTCCTTCTTCTCAGCGGCGGCCTTCTTGGGGGCAGCAGCCTTCTTCTCCTTGGGCTCCTTAGCCTCCTTCTTAGGAGCGGCAGCCTTCTTGGGGGCGGCCTTCTTCTCCTTGGTCTCCTTCTCGGCAGCCTTCTTGGGGGCGGCGGCCTTCTTCTCCTTAGGCTCCTTAGCCTCCTTCTTGGCAGCAGCCTTCTTAGGGGCAGCAGCCTTCTTCTCCTTGGGCTCCTTGGCCTCCTTCTTCTCGGCGGCCTTCTTGGGGGCAGCCTTCTTCTCCTCCTTCTTGGGAGCCTTCTTGGCAAGCTTGGTGCCGCCAGAGGGGCCTATGCAAGTCAGTATACGGGGTTCTCAGATGGCTAAGGCACGTCGACATACCCTTGGGCTGCTCGAAGACACCCTTCTCAACACCGGCGCGGAGGGCCTTGTTGAAGAGAGAGTCGAACATGGTGTCGCTAACAACGTTGATCTGGTTGTTGGCCTTGACATACTTCTTCAGGGCCTGGCGGGAAGATCCATTGCGTTCCTTAAGCTGTAGGAGAAAAGACGAGTCAGTAAAAGGTCGGCACACGAGGTGATTTGCCGCGAGGCAGACGACAGCGAGTGGTGGTGCGATCAGGGTTCGCGAGGGTGGTGGGCGCTGGCGAGGATACTGAGACCCAGTAGCGCAAGCGAGACCCGACTGGCACCGGTCGCGTAACCCTTTTGCGCCGGAGGGAGAGGAGCTGGAAAACATACAGCAACAATGGCCTCGGTGATCATGTCCTGCAGACTGTTAGCAAAGAATGCGCCATGAAAAAAGACCGGTGAATCGGTGACGGACCTGGTAGCTGGGGTGGGAGGCCTTCTTGGGAGCGGCGGCAGCGCTCTCGGTCTTCTTGGGAGGCATTGTGAGTTTGGTGGTGGTGGTTGGTGTGGGTGTTGGAGAAGGGTGCAAAGTAGCGGATGCAATCGAAAGGGCGATTGAAGTCGATGAATAAGTCGAAGTAGATCGGTTTGCGAAGAAGATTGACGCGTTGTGTTGAGGGAGACAAGAAGAGAGAGATCGAGAGCAAGAGGGGGGACGAGCGCGTGCGTGGAGGGGATGGGGCTTGTTTTTATAAATGGGCGGGGGCAGAGAGGCGCGGTGCGCAATCAGTAACTTTGTGGTCTTGGGGGTCTTGGGCTGCGGGCACCACCAGGGCACCTCTGGCCTCGCTGGGCTTTGGGGGGTTCCAGCGTGCCCCCCATTCATCCCCTCCCCCTCCATCCACCATGCTCATCCACCACGTCCTTCAACCCCCGAAAAAATAACTGTGAGCTAATGGCCCGCGTGGTTTTTTAGCGACCGCCCTCGATCCGCGCGACCAGTGACCAGACCACGGGCAGCGCAGCACCACCCACACCAACAACGATGGAACATGGAGCCGGGCTGCAGGTTGAGATGTGGAAGAAAGATTTTAGACGGCTCTCCCCTCCCGTTGGGCCTAGCAGGGAGTCGTCGAGCCGGGTAGCTAGCGGTGCAGGAAGGGTAGGGCAGCAGGTGCAAGACAGGTTCGACTGCCTTGCCGTGCTTGTTCTTGCTTTACCTACATGGCGCGCAAGTGCAGGTGCAGGTGCAGTAGGGTTCCTTCTCTTCTTGGGTCGACCTACCTCACCACGCTCACCTAAGGCAGGCAGGCTGCTTGGGACCTCAACAGTCAACCGTCAAACCGTTCCTGCTCTCCGATGCTCCTTCTACTAAGGTAATGCTCCGGTGACAGACCGCAAGGTAAGGCAGGCACGAACGTCGACGGGAGAGTAAGGCAGGTGAGGTAGGACTCGAATGCAGGTGTGGCAGAGCCCCAGCTTCCGTGCTTTCCATCCTTTCCTTCCCCGGCCCTACCTTACCTTCTCACGCACCTGCACCTGCACCTGCATCGCACCCACCTCGTCCCTCCTCCCACCTCCTTCTCTTCTTCTCCTCCTGCCCCAACCTCACCTCTCCTCTTTTGCTCTTTCTCGTTTTGTGATGTGTCTCGACTTGAATCGGCGATTAGCGCCAGTTGAGCTGGAACCAAGAGGCGCATCTCTATGTGATTTGCTAGACGCGGTCGAGACGGGCAAGACGGGAGGCTCAAGACACAGATCAGATCCAGCACCCTCTCCTCTCCCCTCGTCTCCTTCCCTCGTCTGCCTGATGTTGCCACTCCATCCAGTCCTCCAGGTTGTTCTGTGCCAGACCACCACTTCCAAGAAAGATATCTGCAGATCTACATGGCCAACTTGTCCTCCATCAACTCGCAAGTGGCGACGAAGATCGCAGCAGCGGGTGGCACATGGCCACATGGCAGGCGCTCCAGGGAAACAAAAGACCAAGCTCCGGACGCGTCGCATGAAGCTTCTGAAGCTTCTGTCGTCTCTGCTGTCACACCCTGGACACCTGGACACCGGACGGGGGGGCCCTCTTCTCCCCTCAGCAGCTCGACTCCCTGTAAATCCAATCCAACACATCCAGTCCAATCCGTGCAGGACGGGAAAATAAACGAACACCTCACAGTGGATGCCCGCCCAGGTGAGATGGCCTTCTGGTGCTTCTGGTGCTTTTCCACGGCTCCTCCCAAGGGACCCAGCCCAAGCCCATCTCCCATCTCACCTCACAGGGGGCCTCTGCCGCGGCAGTGTTCCCGCCAAACAAACGCAAACACCTCCATCCCCTCCTTGGCTTCGCGCATGCCGCCATGCCCTAGGAAAGGTGGTAAGGCATGCTCCCTGACCTGCTCGAAGCTCCTCCCCTCCACTACCTAGAATCAGATCACACCCAAGATCAGTGTCAGTGTGTGCCTGTCCATCCTTCCTTCCCCGTCGTCGGTTTTCAGGGACCGCCTCAGACTCCCAGACAGACTCCTGCTTGCCCTGCTAAGCGGCACTGCACACTGCAGCAAGCGCTCCTTCCCTTCCCCATCACGACTGCCACGCCGTTCGACGACCCAAAAAAGATACCTACCCCAAGTACCTTTCCCATTTTCCTTCCGTCGCATTAAAATAAAAATGCCCTCCTTCCCTCGTCGATTTTTCTGATTGGCCAGATTTTCGCAATCCATCCGCTGAAAGACTGTCCCCCCGGGCTCCCAAGTCCAGCACAGCATAGCACAGCGGAATGGACGAACGAGAAGAAAAAAAAAAGCTGTCTGATCCGGCACCTTCGCATCTCCCACCCAACTCATTCTCATCGCCCACCTCAACCACCTCTCTTTTTCCCTTCCCTCTCCTCTCTCCTTTTCCCTCTTTTTGCGCTTTCCTCACCCTCCATCACGCTAAATGACTCATTTCTCGCTTCCATCGCGTTTTTGGCTCTCGCAAACCCCCGATCCACATCCCGCACGCCCGGCCCCAACTTTCCTCACAGCCCGACTCCTTTCCCTCGCCGACTTGCCACTTTTCGCACTTCGTCCATGATCTCCTCAACACAACCTCCCCCGTCGCATCCGGTCTCCCTCCTCGCCAGTCCGGTTTCATCCCAAGCCAGCACCATCGCTGTGTTGCCCGAATTTTTCTTCATCCCCTCATGCTATTTTGTCTCCATTCCCAACGCGACCCGGCCCGGATATCCCGCACCCCGTCCCGTTCGGCCTCCCGTTCCGTGTGATTCGGTGCGCGAAGCTCGCGATTGAAGCTATCCGCACATCTTTGCACCACCACCGCGCAACCGCCCACAGCACCTTTCTTTTCATCTAAAAAATGCACTGGCCCATCGTCTAGGTCGACGATCTGCTCGGGGATATTTTTTGTGAATTTGTTGCATTTTTGTTGCTTGAAATGACTTACACCGAGTTTCGCGAGCGCCGCCCGCCAAAGAGGGGCTGCAATCGCGTCACGCGACCGATGAAGAGTCGATGGATGACTGCACGCGTGCTTGTGACCACATAACCGCTCAGCCTTAAAGCTGATTGATGATATCACCTCAATACGTCGCCAGGCTACATCTGGCGATATCTGCGGTTTGCACGCTCCCGTTGTGCTTCATTGGAGCGTCAAAAGCCCGTGAGAGGCATGAGGGGCAATGGAAGCCATTCGCGATCCATCACCCTTCTACACGAACAGCGACCTCTCCCCGCCGACAACACTCGAGGGCCAAAGAATCTTTGGCACTCCGATTCGAAAACATTCTCGATTGACATCAATGCAATTTTGACAACTTCAAATCCTCATTGCGGCCGCCAAATGTCATCGCAAGCTTGACGCATGCATACCCAATGTGGAGGAGAACACGTGTGCCAGTCACCGTCTGTTCTCCGCCCTGACCGACACTTGCGTCCCTCATTCTCTGAACACCACACCGACTGACATTGCACCTGAATTTCTCAACCCGGGAACACGTCGATGGTATTGTAATTTCCTGCATCATCAATTGCGGTTTAAATGAGATTGCCCCTCGTCGCGAGACGTGATTGTCAAGCCCCGCGAAGTCGCGCGTCAAGCGAGACGAAAAGGGGGACCGAACAGGCCTCACGGCACCCGCACCGCGCCTTGCTTTGCTTTGCTGTGCTCGCAACCCAGCGCACTCTCTAGCGAATGCTTCTGAATTCCGAGATTGAAATCTTCCCAATTTGAACGATAATAATTTCGTTTTGCTATTTCAAAGAAAACGTCGAGGTAGCCGTCTCGAGGGCAGCGAACCAATCTCCTGCGCGAAAAGTCGGCCGGCCGCACGGGGAAACTCGGGCCCAGACGAGCCAAACTCTCCATCCCCCTCGCGAGCTCCGCGAAGGCGCTTCCAGCTCGGCCTCGAAACATGACCATTCTTGATATCAAGACTGCATCGTTATTCACAGCTTCTCGTCAATGAAAGAAATCATGAGCAAGAGGCCAAGCTGGGACCGCGAGGGGCAGCGGTGAGGCCGAGGGGCAATCTTGTTTTGACCCCGTCCAACGCGTAACAACCCCCTTCCATCCATCCCCTCCCATTTCACCGAGGCAGCCTCTGAAAAGAACGACATAAATGAAAGTGATGAGAACCTCAAAAACCGATGCCAATCTGTCCCAGCTCAGGACGTCAAAATCGCTCCGTGCCCAAGCATCGAACTCTCCGTCAAACGCGTGCGCACCGCTGTGTCCTCCCCCGTCGCCCAAAAAAAGTCGCGCGCCGTGCGGTGCGGTTGCAAGTGACAAGTGCGGTCGCAGGTCCCCTCCCTCCCCTCCAGTTGGTCCCTCCCAGATCCGGAAAGTGGGTCTGTGGGAGCTATGACCAGCTCGCAGCGGTCGCAGCTCCGGGCCAGGCGCTCCCACGCCAATCCCCCCGCCGCCGCTGGGCCCTGCGAAGTTCCACAAGACAAGCATCCCACGCCGGTGAAGATTGCCTGACCGAGCTGACCGAGGGGCCGTTGGGGTGGGGACTGGGTACACCGGACACCGAGAATTCTTCAGCCGGTGAGGGGCGGGGACACTGTGCACGCTCGACAGAGAACGAGGGGGCGGCAATTAGAAACAGGACATCGTGCGATAAAGAATTGCAGTGTACAAAGCACAAAAAAGCTCGAGATTCAAATGCTCAATTAAGCATGCGATGACGTGAAAAATACATCATTAGTGAAGAAAAAATCAAAAAGAATGGCTCTCCCCTTCCAGAATCGAACTAGAGACCTTTCGATGACAATGTAACCATTACAGTCGAACGTGATGAACCAACTACACCAAGGGGAGTAACAGGGCTAAAGCCCCGCTTGGTGAGATGTCAAACCTGCCGCAGAGCCAGCCTAAGTTGCGTGCGTTACCGAGGGCCCCGCACAGCAAACACCTCCCCCACGCGCCTTTCGACGCCCTGGGAGCCGAGACGAAAGGGCGCAACTACCGAGCCAACGGCCCTGCCATCGGAACCAGCGCCCACTCCATCGGGTCGCGCGCCCCAATTGCTGCCGACGGAAACCGAAT